ACGCAGCTAGTAAATGCAAGAGCCAAGTTCCGGTGCTCTAGATCTGGCTCCATTCTATCCCACCGTGGTTCTTAATGCTTCCAGGGTCAGATACTGAGGGTCTTTGATACTTCTGTGTCCTGGAAACAACTGTTAGGCTAGAGGTCTTGCACTCTGGCTCGTTAAGCTCACCATCTTCTCAAGTGCTGGTTCCCAGTCACTCCTGCGCCAAAGCCCTACCTGCTGTGACGTATGAAGCAGTCTTCAAACCAGGATAGTTACAGACGGCGTGTCGTGCGTAAACTTTGTATTCTCTTTCAACAGGTTTGTAAGCCTTACAGACAGGCGCTGTGCTCTGTTCTCCTCACTCATGCATGCATTCATTCCTCATTCATTGATTATTTATTGAACCTCAGCCGAGGCCTGGCTTATAGCTGTGACAAATAATGAAATCTATACAGTCCCTGCCTCCCTAGACAGAAACTATGGTGGAATATTTAAAATGGGAAGCCATAGTAGAGTGGCTGTAACTCCACCTGCTCTACCTATGGGTGAGGAGGTCAGGGCCCTGAGGATGGAATGATATGTCCAAGGCCTCATGGTCAGTCGGGGACGGAAGCAGTTCTCCTAGAACTCCTTTCTCTGTCCCCCAGGGAAAAGTGGCATGGAAACAGCCCTGACAGGCTATGACTCACAAACATCCTGCAGGCCTCTCTGAAAGACTGGAAACCTCCCAGCCTTCCCAGTCAGGCTCAGTAAATAAGGCTCAGGTGGGTGGGTGTTTGAAGCCCCATATCCTCCAACGATCACCTGCTCTAGCTCTCAAGCCCCTGGCTCCTTTCATGTTTGCTGCTGCTCTGGGTGTCTCCAATAACACTGCTTGCTGCTCCACCGGCCTAAGCCCCTTGGGCATGGAAGTTGAGTCTATTATGGGTAAGAACAGGCGTCTAGCTCTCAGAGAAACCTGGATTCAAGCCCTGCTTGACTCACTAGCCTTTTGATGTTCGACAAGTGATGTCCATCCACCTACAATGAATTTATTGAGCTTCAGTGGGCATTCCAGGCACTGGAGGGGAGAATAAAGACAGACACGGTCCACTCCCATGGACCTCACATTCTACCTAGGAGCTCAGACCATCAGCACAGCCACAATAAACACCCTGAGGTGATTTCAGGGAAGGATAATGTTTTGGTAGAGAGCAGAGGATAGACAGAGAGGGCAGGGATGATTTGGAAGAGGAGGCAACATCTGAACTGAGTCCTGCAGTATGGAAGGGCCAGCCATGCAGGACGGGCAGGAGCAGGAATTTGGGCAGTGGGCACAGCAGTGCAAAGACCCTGGGGCAAGGGTGGGCTTGGGCTATTTGAGAAACAGAAAAGTAAGGTTTCTCCATCTGGAAGGAACTCAGCTAGCAAAAATATCCCCCCCCTTGGGTGGTGCTATGGGGACAGAATGAGCAACCCAGCGCTTAGTAGCAAGCAAGCCTGGCGGTAGGTGGTGGCTGTTTACTATTGCACAGAAGATTGTTGCTAGAGGGCACATCCTGCCCCAGCTGAGTCCCTATCTCTGTGGAACACAGTTCCTTTGGCACTTGTTGTTCCCTCTTTCTGGAATGCACTCCCACAGCTCCCTCTCCCACCCCTGCCTGGCAAACCACTAAGGATCCTTTTACTCTCGGCTTTAACTTCTCTAAAGTCACACCCAGTCGTTTCACATCTCTGCTTAGGATCCTAAAGGGCTTTCCTGGAAGCTGACAGCAAGACCCATACTAAGCTGAAAGGTCCTAGAAGGTCCTGGCCTCACCTCCAACTTCACTTCACCACAAGCACTCCAGCCCTTCCCCCAGTCCCCAGGGCCAGGCATTTGCATACATTGTGCCCTCCCTCTGGACTCCTCCTCTGCTCTCATCCTTTGGGTCTGACCTAAGACAGAAACTCCTGCCCCACTGTCTCTACTACTGTGCCTCCTAGCGTCCTGCTCTGTCTTTCAAACCTACAACACCTTTTGATTCTAATGTGGATGATTGCTCACAGCCTCCCCACCAAAGACGGAAGGTTCCTAAATGTTCCCCGACTAGCACTCAACACCTGTTCAACTTTAATGTTCTATTTTTAGATCATTCAATGTGTCTAAAATATTACTATTTCAATAGAAATACATATATATTTTTTTTCGTTTCAGTGCTGGGGATTGAACCCAGGGCCTTGCCGTGCTAAGTGCTCTAGGCTGATCCTTTTCTAAATGATCACTAGATGCTGCAGTTCTCAGGTCTCCCCACCAGGTTTTCTTGTCCTCACATGCTCCTTTCCTAAGTGACCACGCTCATGCCCACATGCCCAGTTGTCTGTCATGACTGCCTAAGCACCTCTCAAGCCCTGAGGTCTCCTCCAACTGCCCAGCTATATCTCCAAGGCTCCCTGACATGTCCCCCTAGATATCTCAAGGCATCTCAAACTCAGCAGATCTCATGCTGAGCCCCCAAGTGCTTCCCTGCATCCAAGTCTGGAGCTGGGATGCTCCCCGTGGAGAGGTGCTCTACCTGTCCTCTTCAGCATTCATCACCATTAGCAGAGCAAACCTTCTATTGGTTATTCTGGTTTATTGTCCATCTCTTCCAGCTAGAGGGGCAGCTTCATGAAAGTGTCGGGGCACTGAGAACAATATACTCCTAAGTATGGGTATTTTTTTGGCTTGCTCAGAAATTTGATGTAAAGGACATTAAGGTCTCAAACACAGGCTCAGAATCAAGATCCTCTTTGCTTGTCTCGTTTCTGCCCACTCACAGCAGGGAGAGGCTCTGTCTGGAATTCCTGTTATCACATGAAGACGGCAGAGGGGCACACCTATGCTTTCCACTCCCACCCCACCCCCAAATCCCATTATCTATCTCAGAGAAGAAGACTGAGGACTGCAAGCACACCCTGAAGGATTTCCCTTATAAGATCGGTCCCTTAGGCACCTTCAAATCCCAAAGAGAACCTTTATACAAGCTGGGGTCTGTGTGTCCCAAGGGCCCATTCATTCTCCCCAATAATCACTGACAAGCCACCAAAACTGTCAGCATCCCCCTCCCCATTGAAAAAAGGGCATATAAGCTTCTGAGCGATGCTGGGCTAGTGGGTAATGACACCACGTGGCTGCCTCTCTGCTCCCATTTGATGCCTTTGTCAATGTACTCCAGTGAGCCTTCAGAGGGGAGAGGAGAAATTTACCTCTGTCCCACAAAGGCAGGGTTTTGTCTACTTTGTCACTTCTGGGCTCTAGTGTCTGGAATAGTACCTGCCACATAAATGTACATTTCATAAATAAATGAACTTTTTCTTTTCTGCCTTCCTACGTTGTGGGTTCCATGCTTAGCATATCTCCCCAAGGCCAGGCGTCAGTCTCAGATCTTTTTTTTTTTTTTTGAGTAATGGGGAGTGAACTCAGGGGCACTTAACCACTGAGCCACATCCCCAGCCCTATTTTGTATTTTATTTAGAGACAGGGTCTCACTGAGTTGCTTAGTGCCTCGCTGTTGCTGAGGCTGGCTTTGAACTCGTGATCCTCCTGCCTCAGCCTCCTGAACTGAAATCTTTTTGAAAGCCATCTCTTCCCTACCTGTCTCACACCTGGTTCTATCATGGCGCCCTCTCACCAAGACTGTTTCATCAAACACGCTGCTGAATCCTTGGGACTAGGTCACACGTTTGGAGCCTTCCCAGGATGAATCCAATGTCTGTACTCTGATAGTCATCATTATTCAATGCCGATGTTCATCTATAATTATAACTATTATTCTACATGGAATTGTCCATCACTACTCTGTAATTCCAGTTGTAATTGCTGGCCTTCTGAGGCCTCAGCTGTCTTGGACTGTGTGTACCCATTTTCATCTACAGGGCTGCCCCTGGGAACATAAGCAGGTAGACCTTGCCAAGGGGCAGAGGTGCTCAGCAATTTTCTCCTCCATTGGCTCTCATTTAAATTGCTTATGGGAATAACAGCACAGGTGTTTAAAGGGGTAACTGTGCTGTTTGAAAGAATTTTCTAGTATTTCTTCTACATATTTCCTCAGCTGAATCTGCCAGTGCTTCTCCATGGACTCTGGGATTGATGCTTACAGCCCTTCAGAACCTGCCCACCCTGGCCTGGGCCCCTGCTTCTCTCTGCTCCCTGGACACATCTAACACCTTGGTGCCTCTGGGTCCTTGCTGAGATGATGGCAATGTTGCTACCCACAACAGGGCAGAGGAATCCCTTGGAGAGGCCAGACACCTCTTTGTAATGCTCCTGACGAGAGGATCCTATGAGCTGAGTGCCCACTGTAGGGAGCCCTGGATGCTGCCTTTCTGTTCAGGTGGTTGGAGCTATTCCCCTAACCAGGGACATCCCTCACAGGGGCCAACATCTGCCTATTAATTTTCAGTCAAATACAGAACTTTCTGCAAAGAAGGAGGCAACAGAAGGGAAAACAGGAGCTGAAACCCTGAAAGAACACCAAGTGTCCACACCTACTGCTGTCACACAGCCCATGGAGTATCCTCCCAAGGCTGCCAGCTCCCTCCATATGCATCAGAGAAAGTCAAAAAGTGGGCATTGGGGTATTAATTCCAGGGAGAGATGATCTCTTCAGTTTGATATAAACATCTGATGGTGTTGAACCAAAAAGAATGCCCTTGGCATTCCAGAATACAGTGGCTTCCAGGAAGGAGTTAACTTTTCATGCAGAAAATGAAATGCCCTACTCACTTTGTACATAGCTTCAGACTATTCCATGTGAAATCATGGAGACAAGAAATAAAGAAAGCTGGGTGTGATGGCACATGCCTGTAATCCCAGCAGGTTGGGAGGCTGAGGCAGGACAGTGAGTTCGAAGCCAGCCTTAGCAACTTAGTAAGGCCCTAAGCAACTCAGAGAGACTCTGTCTCTAGATAAAATATTAAAAACTCAGTGGTTAAGCACCCTTGGGTTCAATCCTTAGTACAAACAACAAACAAACAAGAAACAGGGAAATTAATTCAAAGAGTTGCCAAAATACCCATTTTTCCTCTTTTTCCATTTGCTCCTTTTTCGCCTTTTGGGCCCTCTGGACCAGGCTGTCCGTCTGATCCATTGTGTCCTGGTAACCCATCAACTCCCGGAGGTCCTGCATTAAAACACGGAAATAGAAACATTTAAAATTGTTTTTTTCCACTGAAGTTAATGGGCTTTCCTTTATTCCTTTAGCCGGTGAAACTGGGCGGGCATCCGTCTTTTCTACATCATGTCCTGCTTCTTCCCTCCCTTCTCTGTCTGAAGCAGTGACAGGTGTTAGGAATGGTGATGGCAGATTTTCCAGTGAGAGGGCCTGAAGAAGGATGGGATGTGGCCAGGTCACCTCCACACCTTTCCCTCCCCATCTCTGTCACTTTGGAAGGATCCCAAGGGCCCAGCCACCCACAACCTCCCCTTGAACTAGGAAAGTTGATAGACTCTTACCTGGTGGGCCAGGTGGACCTACAACAGAAAAAGAAATTTAAGTGATAAGACACAGGTGAGAGAAAGAAAACCTAGCACCACAACCACCTCTTCCTCCTTAAAATGTCCTACTCGTCTACTGACCCTCAGAAACTGATCTCATACCTCTTTATGTAGAGTTCATCATATTTGTTCAAAAGAGCCTTAAAAACTATTCAACAGAGATCCATTGGCCAATCGAATCAATTTAAGTTTTAAGAGACCAAGAATAATTTCTGAAGCAGCCGACCAAATTGAGGTGAGTGACAGTGCAGGTGGGCCCTTGTGCAGCCCTGGCCCAGGGGCTCAGCCATGAGCTCAGCCCATCCACTGCTGTCATTGGAGGGCTGGAAGTCTCTTTCCTGGGAGCAGGTCCAGTGCTCTTGGGCAGCCAGCTGGCCTCCTCCAGGTCACCCAGGGGTATCACCAGCAGATGCTGGCTTGCTAGATTTCTATTTGTTGCATGAAATAGCCTGAGAAAACTTGAGGGCCCAGATCAGGTAACAAACATTTTCCTTTAATGTGAAATCACCTAAGTATCTAAGGGACTTGGATGAATCATTTACATGTAACCAGGAAAAAAAAAAAAAAGATTTTGCTTCCACAGATAGGAGTGTCTTATTGCCAGCGTGTCTACTTGAACAATCAGACAAGTCAATGAGGCTGTAACAAGAGGAGGTGAATTGCTTTTGTTTCTCCAGACCACATATAATGAGTATCAATATCAGACTGGAAAGGTCTTCCACAAATCCAAGCCTATGACCATTCAGAAAGCAAGCATTTACTAAGCACTTACTACATGCACCAAACTCTACCAAGGAATCTCAGGCCCTATATTTGCTGTGCCCATAGCCTGTGTGAGAAAGGTGGACCCTTTGAAACCACAATGCAGTATGAGAGAGCTACAGAGAGGTAACCCCTTCCCCGAAGGGGTGCTGGGGCAGTCTAGCCATACAACGGTCTGAGAAGACTTCCCAAGACAGAGAGCCTTGAGCTATGACCCTGAAGAAATGGTGAGCCTAAGACAGCTGTAGGTTAAGAGCCAGGCATTCCACACACAGCACCAGAGTTAGCAGCACAGGTCCAGGGGTCAGAACCTGGGAGATTCAGGTGGGAGAAAGGAAGAGGATTGGCCAAGCTAGATGTGCAAGAGATGAGGCTAAGTCAGAACACAGGTGGCTGGGCAATAGAAGCACTTGACTGCCATGCCAGAAGGTGTAGACTGTAAGATGTAGACTCTCTCTGAGAGGAAATGGGGATCTACAGCAGGTTCTTAAGCAGGGGGTTGATGCTGGAGATCAGTGTGGGTTTGAGACCCTCTTTGTAGCTAGACATCAAATAGAATCATTTGGACTAAGATGAGAGACATCGAGAGACAGGGAGAGACACAAAGATAAGGGAGTAAATTACAGTGGAAATAAACAAATCTTTGTAATTAAAATCAGGGACAAGGTTGGGATAAATCTGGTGACCACAGAGTGGCAAAGCTAGAAATTCAAAAAGTATTTCAGTGGAATGAGCAAGATTGTGTAAGATTCCTCTCAGATAATTAGAGGATAACTGATGGATAGAGGCTGGGGACATAGGGACTCTCAGACGGATAGGTGTTGGAGGGTATGCTTTTAATACAGACAGTTGTATTTCAGGTCAAAATGATTTGCTGAAAATGGCTTCCAATTCTCTAGTCAGTGCAGCCTGTGGCTACCTGACTTAACCACCAGGTGGTGCATACATATACACACACACACACACACACACACACAGGAAAAGGGGTGGTGTGGAAAGGGTGGTGTGGACAGTGAACAGGTCAGAAGAAATTAATTAATCATCATTCCTGGCTACAGATGCAGGCACATTCCATTGCACAGATTGGTAGGACAATTTGACTGCAAGGAGCAAGATTGACTGTAGGTTTCAGGAGTTCCCAGAGAGCCCAATGACTATGTCTATGGGGTGAGGATGTAATGAAAGCTCAGGTTGGAGCTGCATGTTTGGTACACATTAGCTTCTCGATAGGGAAGCATTTGGATTAAGGTCCCCTGACATAGCTCCACTGACTTCCTAGCTCCAGTTCCTATTGTATGAATCTACAGAATCTCCTGCAATGCTAGTTTCAATGCAGGTCCTTTGGTCAGGTCTGGAGATTCTAATTAGAGGCCCAGGAACTTGCATTTTTACCAAACATCACAGATGATTAGGATGCAGATATTAATGGGCCCTCTGATGTGACGTAAAAATTTTCTGGCAAAATAATTAGTTACCATCAACAACTCCTTAAAGGAATCCTTGTGAATGAGGGGTCCCTGGCTAGGGAGACTCATTGTGGGGAAGTGAGAAATTTCCAGGTTGGCCTATAAAAGCCCCAAGTGCCATCCATTGGTCGTCTCTCTTCTTGGAGGGGTAACCTTATTGTTGAGATGATGGAGCTGCAAGACGGCAGCTGCCTGGATCCCTGAGTCACCAGGACTTCCTGGGAGAGTCACCCAAACATCACTGGACTTTATGGAGTGAGAAATAGTCTTTGTTGCATTAAGCCACTGAGGTTTTAGTTTGCTTCCCCCCCCCCCCCGTGGACACAACATCTTTATTTTATTTGTATGTGGTGCTGAGAATCGAACCCAGCACCCCGCACATGCCAGGCAAGCACACTACCGCTTGAGCCACATTCCCAGCCCCTGAGGTTTTAGTTTGTTACCCAAGCATTGCCTAACTTATCCTGACAAATGTACTCCTATCACTTTATAATAATTTGACATCTCACATTTTTTTCCTTTCATAAGTTCTAATGCATTTTTCCTATTATCTAACAGAAAAATCTTAACTGAGATAAGAAATGCAGGCACCTCAGTTAGTGGGAAGTAATAATAAGGACATATGAGTCTCATTATTATCAAGAGCAGGCCTGGCCAGTGGCTAACATGCAGGGCTGTGGAATGCTGCTGCCTGTCTCTTCCCACCATGGCAATTCCAAATCAAGGGGAAGAGAATCACCTCTGAGTATCTCTGGTTTCCCTCCAGCAGCCTCTATTCACTCTGGAATGATTTCCAACAAGGTGCTCCCTACCCAAGGCACCTGTTTAGCAGAGCATGACCATGGAAGAAGTAGCTACACATTTCTCCAAGTCTTGGGAAGATATAGGAAATAAAGAAGTCAAACAAGACCAAAGAGAAACATTCGGGTGAGGGCTGGGTCTGCACATTCAGAAAGAGCTAGTGAAAGATACAGGCCTGTAAACCTTACGGAACCAGGTTTGGAGGACTGTCATCCTGATTCTCCCCTTCTCTTCCTCCCTAGCAAGGACTCCCTGGGACTCAGCCTTCTTGTGGGCCATAGCTTCAGTCTCAGGGTCAGGGTGGGTGTGGTCTCTTTCCTGTGAGAGACAAACTTGGCTCTACTTAAGGGATGGCCAGAGAGGGCCCAAGCTCACACTGGGGGGCTGAACTCACTAATACTAAAACAGCCTTCTGGTTTGGTCAGGAGATCTCGTTGGGTGAAACACCAATCTGAGACACCAGCTGAGTTTGGCCTGTCCATTCATTTACCAAGGCTACAGCTCTGAGGCCTTCATCCTTACCCTATTTTCCCTGGGACACCCTCTGCAGTTGCCCCTGTCATTACCTATTGGGCCAGCCCTGGGGCACCTGGTTTGGAAAAGTATCTTTCTTTCTTTTGGTGGGGGTAGCAGTGGAGTTACTGGGGATTAAATTCAAGGACATTCTATCACTGGGCTACATCCTTTTTATTTGTTTTTACATTTTGAAACACAGTGTTACTATGTTGCTGAGGCTGGCCTCACACTTGTAATCCTCTTGCCTCAGGCTCCCAGGTCATTGAGATTACAAATATGTGCTACCACATCCGACAAGGTGTCTTTCTTCATATGTCCCATTAAACTGGGACATGAAACTTCAGATCAATCTTGTTTATTGGATACATTTAAATTCTGGGCAAAGGCCATGGTGTCCTTAAAAAATTAGAGTATGAACAGCAGTATGAATCGGTTTTAAGAGGCACTTCCAATCAATTAGTAGTAGCTTCCTGGAATTCCAGAAAAGAATGTCACTAGGCCATGCTCAGCAGCAATTAAGATCCATCACTGATTTTGCCTGATGTCTGCCCTGGCAAACTTTCCCCGACTGACATCTTCTTGGGCCTGCAGATCAAGGCTCTCTGCTGATTCCTCAAGTTGCCCAACTTAGGAAATAAGGGAGTAGTGACAAGTGCCATCACTGGATCAGGGTCACTTAGATGCAAGGAGAATGGGCACTGTGGATCTGAAGTGCCTCTGCCCCCAATGAGCAGTTTGAGCCACATGCTAGTTCAGACATTTTTTCAGAGAAAAGAATAACTGAAGATCCTGTCTTTTTCAAGCCATCTGTTCTTCCAGAAGATATGTTTCTGGGTTCCCAAGAAAACTTGGGTCTGGCAGTAAGATGCACCCAGAAAAGCATATGTCATATGTTGTTTGACAAATTTTGCACCAGGAAAACACATAACCACTGTAGTTAGGGAATTTCCCTCCCTATTCACCCTGAGATGTCACAGGCTATACAAACTACACAGTATCTCCAGAGCAACTATAGCTGAGGCAAAGAAATGGAACAGGAACAGGGTTTCATGGCCATAGCTAGACTAGCCCCCAGTTACATGCACCTGCATCGATTGATTGATTGATTGTACTGGGGATTTAACCCAGAAGTGCTCTATCATGACATATATCTCTAGGCCTTATTATTTTATTTTGAGACAGGGTCTCACAAAGTTGCCCAGGCTGTTCTTGAACTTGCAATCCTCTTGCCTCAGCTTTCCAAGTTGCTAGCATTACAGCTATGTGCCACCATGTCCAGTTTTATTTACTTTTTATTTTTGTCTGCTGGTGGGGATTGAACCCAGGGCCTTACAAACACTAAGCTCGTGCTGTACCACTGAGCTACATTCCTGGCTTCCACATCTGCTTCTTAAGAGATGAATCTAGTGTAAAAGCTAGATCTTGCTCTGGGGCCCAAGCCCAGGCTCTGCCCTGGAGAACCTTTCTGCCCAGCATCCTCTTGCACCTAGGGACCAAGGCTCTCTGTCCATTCTTCAAGTTGCCCATTTCAGTCCTGGGTCCTGTCATCTACCACCTCCTCAAATGCAGGCAGTAGGGTCTATCCCAAGTCATCTTCTCACTTTGCAATTTGTACTTTTCACATCAAACTTTTAAATTGAAGAGATTTCTGTGTAAAAAGGAGGCTCAATTCCAAGCTAACATGAAAGAAGGAGTGCTGGCTTTTGAAAAGCATTTTGAAGTGCTAAAGAATCGCCTGCTCAACCCATTTCCAGCAGGGATGCAGTTCCCTGCTCCCCATCACCCTCCCCTAAGTGGTCTCAGGAGCTCCATCCTGTGCTTTCACCACGAAGCCCGGCTCTCAGGTCGGCCACTGTACCAGTCGGAAGGGAAGGGGATTTTCCTGTGCCTCTCAACGAGGCTTTTGTGCCTGTCATTTCATCCATCTGAACATTTCTCTAGTACTCATTACTGTCACACCTGGGAGCTCTGAAAAGGCCCTTCCAGAGATGGAAGAAAGGTGCTTAAACTACAAGAGTCTCCGAACAAAGGACCAAGCTGTTCGGAAGATATTTAATTTTCTGTGAGGGACAAAATGTGACTTGAGTAATTCAATTAGAATTTCCCAAGAAGCCCCAAGATGATAGTTTTTTTGCTCTGAGGCCAAAAGAAGCAAATGAGAGTGAGCTTGGACTTGGGGCTCCCGAGGGATGCTCTCTCCTTCATTCACTCCTTACATAAGCCACAGATTTCTCCCTTCCACAAAACTCGAACATTGTGTTGTTAATGTGTGTCACACAATGAGAGGAACTGGGGAGAATACTGCAGACAATGGCTCGGTTTCTTAAAGCCAGGCACAGATTGAGCAGGGTTTCTCAGCAGAGTGAAGTGCTGATGTGGCCTCCCCAGAGCCTGAGGTCATAAACTTCTGAGGCCCAAGGAAAGCTTCAGCTGGCTTCATAATTTTGCAGACATTGTTTTAATGTAAAAATGATTTCCTTAGAATGCTCCTGTTAAGTCCATGGTGGCGACTAGGTCACGACTTAGAACAAAGCAGCCCGTGCTGGAAAAGAACGTCAATTAGATGCCAGCGGAAATGCCTGTCAATCAGCCAGATCTCCTGACTAACGCCTGTCAATCAGCAGGACCCCCTGGCCAATCCTGGAGTTCAGCCAACTCCCCTGACCAACTCCAAAGGGATAGGGGACCCTAAAAACACCTTTTCCTGTTCCAAGGTCTTCCCTTCCTGCTGTAAGCCCCATAAAAGTCTAGTCTGATCAGTATCCTCAGACCCTTCTCCTGTCCACTCTGTGGGTCTGATGGAGTTCTGCCTCATTTGGCGGCCCTTTTTAAATCTGTCTCCTTTGGTCGCTGCCCGCCTTGCCTGATCTGAGAGCTCCCTTCACTTTAGAGGGGCAGGAGCTGCCATGTCTGAGGTCAGGCTGCTAGGCCCATCTTTGGCCTGGCCAGAGCCTTGCTGGACTTGGGTGACCGCTCTGCTGCCTGTGTTTCTCTTTGCTCTCACCTTCTGAAGGCAGGATTCTTCCCTCAGGTTAGATACAGGTTTCTTTCACACTCAGATTTAGAAAATCATCTCAAAACCTACCCTTCCATCAGCCATTCCTTGTCCCAAGTCTTGATGTGCCCCCGGCTTGTTCCTTTCCTCTGTTCTCTATGTCAGTGATGCATGTGGTGGAGGGGTGCAGTATGTGGCCAACCTCCAGGCCCACCGAGCACATGGTTCGAACCTCACAGAAAATTCTTCATAAAAAGTAAGTTCAAAGTCAGCCTCGCCAATTTAGCAAGGCCATAAGCAACTTAGCAAGACCCTGTCTCAAAATAAAAAGTTAAAAAGGGGATGTGGTTCAGTGGTGAAGTGCCCCTGGATTCAATCCCTGGTACGGGGGGGGAAGCATTTCTTGACTACTTAGAAATTGGCTTCCAGACCTTCCTGTTCATGCTGTATGTATGATGCAGGGAGAGAATTATTCCTGATAAGAGAACTCTATTTCTCATGTACAAGAACTCTACCATTTTACAAGGTCTTTCCCCTTTTAAAACTAATGGGAATGGGGAAAATATCTATGGCCCTGGTTCAAGGTACCCCAAGTTTCTAATTACCCAAGGCCTAATTATTTTCCATGGCTGTATTTCTATGGCAATACCAGAACTTATTATGACTTTTCATAATTATATTATAATTGGCTTTTAGCTTGGTAAAAACACCTGGTACAAGTAAACCAACATGTATTTTTACAACATAAAATGCTCCTGTGTTCATTCTGCCTCTGCCTTTTGGCTAGCACAGGTATTGGCTGAGTGAGCAGCTGGGTCAGTCAGTAGCGGCCAGCTTACCTGTGAGGCAGATGCCCTGGGTGCTGTTGCACAGGTCCACCATCACTCGGATCTGCAGAGGAGAGAAGGCGATGGACAGCAGTCAGTAGGCATTGGGCCCTGAATTTGCCCTTTATTCAATCAAGCAGAAAGTAACTATAAAAATTCACCAAGTAACTCCAGGAGAATGTGCAGAATTTTGAGGAAAAGGGTTGACTTAAAACTGAAAAGAATCCTTTAGAAGATCTAATGACATTTGATGTGAGTGCTCATCTATTAACATCACAAATAGAATTTCCTAGATTTCTATCAACTTCTGAGAAGATAGAGGATGGTGAGGGAATCACCAAATCCAGTTTTCACCAGTGTAATTAGTTGACCATCCTGCCTCTGAAGGGTTCATCTGTGGGCCTGAATAAAGAGAGTGGTGAGCTTAGTGGTTAGAAGCATGCACTTATCAAAGGGGAGAACGCAGCTGAGATATTCAACCTCTTGACACTTTTGTTTCCTTTTCTGAAAACTCAAATAACATAAGCACCTACCTTAAGGGTTGGGCTAGCTCAATCCCTGGCATGCAGAACCTGTGCTTTGGTGGCAGTGATTCTCATGCCATGTGGAGCCTGCCTACTCACCTTGGATAACTACCAGTCACGTTGGTATTAGCCTGATATCTGGTTCTCCCACATCCACTCTCTATCCCTACCGTTCTCTGCACTGTTCCCTAAAACCAAGTTTGATCATGTTAGATCCATAGACTGATCTGAAAGATCTCTAAGAAAATTAGTAAAATGCAAAGTACAGAATAGCATGTATAATATGCTTTCATTTATGGAAAACAGTGGTGCACACAAAAATGTTTCTACATGCTTCTCTCTTGCTGATTTTCATCTTTGGCTTTCTAGAATATTTCTGGAGACCACTAAAAAGCCTCAAGTGAGGGGGAATAGAGGGTCAAGGAGAAGAAAGCTGTGTGCTTTGTTTCATTCACATGTTCAGTGATTACTCTTTCAATTAAACTATTTTCAAAAGAACATGTTTTGATGTGAGGAGAAAAGTGATTTTGCCTTTTATCTACGTTGAATCCACTTGCTAGGAGTCCAGAGGAAAACTCACACTGTGTTTACTTTTTGCCAGGTATGTATGTAAGCAAAAATAACCAAAATGGTTTTGGTACCATAGTGAAAGCAGACTTCATGGTCCAGCGCTGCCTTTTATTCAGTAGTGGAGTCAGGTATCAGAGGGGCTCACTTTCTGAGTAGAAAATGGCCTCTGGTTACAAGAAGGGTCTGGTTTTTATAGATTACACTTAGAGGTGGCTTCATAGATAGAATTTGTCAGTTTGGGCATTCAGGAAACAGGTTGTGAGAATTTGAACCTGGGCAAATATGGGGGGGTCCAGTGTTTATCTTTTTGTGCCAGGAGTCATTGTACTGGGAAAGGATCAATGTTTGGCTTCTTCCTCCAGGGTCTATTGTCCTTGGGAAAGAATTTACTGGGAAAGGATCAATATTTGACCTCTTTCCAGGGACTGTCATTTTAGAATTGATGTTTGCCTCCTTCCCAGGGATTGTCTTGCCACTGGAAAAGAATTTACCGGGGAAGGATCAATGTTTTGCCTTCTTCCTCCTTACTCCTGGGTCACATTGTTTGGGGGATTGTCATTTTCCATATCCTTCAAAATCAATAGGTATTTTATTTAGACACTTGTTATGATATATACCAAACACATTACAAATCTATAAAATGTGTATGAACAATTTAAAGATGAACAACATAAGAAACGTGTACATTTGGCCCTCTGTGGGGTTTTGTATCTACAGATTCAACTAACCACAGATTTTTAAAAAAATGTATCTGTACTGAGCATGTACAAACTATTTTCTCATCATGATTCTATTAACATATAGTATAACCTTTATGTAACACTTATACTGTATTATGTAAATATTGAAAATAATCTAGAGATGTTTTAAATTATACAGGAGGAGGGCTGGGGATGCAGCTCAGTGATACAACACTTGCCTTGCATGTACAAGGCCCTGGGTTCTATGCAATACTATGTCATTGTCTATAAAGGACTTGAATATCCTCAGACTTGGGTATCATTGAAGGGTTCTAAACCAATCCCTCATGGATACTGGAGGATGACACATACCATCCTAGTTGAAGAACTGGAAATTTCCAGTGGCTTGGAAGCATCCCAGGTGCCCCTCCCCACCCAACAACTCTTCCAGCTGAAGTATATAAGGCAGATCCATTCTCCCCCAGGTAAGAAGAGAGGTTTAGAGAGGTGCCATCATGTACTCAAGGGCACACAGCTTGCCTTTAGAGGGAGCAGGCTGAACTCCACATTTCCTGATTCCAGGTCCACCGTACTCTATTATGGCTTTGATGATCACTTAAGTAACCAGACAGAAAAAAAAATTGATGTGCTGTTTTTAGTCATTTTCATAAATGAATGTAATCAGCTGCACTGTGGACAAAATTTATTGTCTTTAAAAATGTATAATTAGCCATTGAAGGGACCAGAAAAGACTTACAATGCTTCATTTGTTGCCTGGGGGATCACAATAGAAGGAGCAGTTTCAAACAAGAGAAGCATCAATAGGGAAAATGAGCCTTTCTCTTTGATACTGATCACTGGTCTAGGAAGGCCCAGTGGAAAAACTAAGAAGGAGTGTTCATTTCCTGACCTTTTGGCTTCATTTTTATGCTAAAGTTAATTTAGATACTTATCAGTAAATTACCTTAGTCTTCACTTAGAAATATTCTTTTAACAAAGGTAAGCTCTGTAAGATTGTGTTAAAGTGAAACACATGACAGAAACCTGTGGCCATAAAGCCAGAACTGCTCCCCATTTTATCACAATGATGAAGAATTTGGGTGAAAATAAGGCAATTCAAAACTAAAATAATAAAATCTACACGGTCACATTAAAGAGTCCCATTTGTAGGCTTCCTAGATCTTGATTTAGGTTTTGAGAATGTTGAAGCTGGATGAGGTCTTTGAGGCCATTGTCCTAGGGGTGTTTCACGGGATTTAACCGTGGCATGGCCCTGTCTCCGGTCAGAGGCCACCTCCCACCACTCTTCCCTGACGCTCTGTGCTGGGGCTCTGGTTGGCTCCCACCTAGCCCTCAAGATAGGCCTTCCCAACCCAACTGAGAGGAGCCCAGGCAGCCACCCCCCTCTTACTCTCCTGACTTGTCTCAGTAGCATTTATTATCCAATATTATCTTTCTTATTTATTTATTTATTATCTGCCCCCAATCTCCAAATTTTGGACACAGGAAAACTTGCTCTTTGTTTTGTCTGCATCCCCTGTGTCTGGAACAGTCCTGGTGTCCGGCCTAGAGCTCCACTGGGGAGAATAGCATCCAGTGGGAAAGTGAGGGAGAGTCTGCCTTGAGGGGAGCCGACAAGAAATTGCTGGTCTGGGATTATGATACAGGAATCTGACGGTGTTGGGAAGAGGGTTGGACCGGGCGCAGGAAAACGTCCATGACAGTGGTGGGAAGTCCCTCCTAACTCAGCTGGTCTAGCGTGGAGGACATATTTTGTGGGAACAGTGACCTTTGCCCTGGGTGTAAAGTATAGAAGGGTACCCAGAGAGCACAGGCTTAGTGCATCGGTGGCCACAGCATCACTGAGGACCTGTCAGTTTCATCTCCTAGACAAGATCAACACAACAATGGGCAGAGTCACACTGCATCATATGGGAACTTGTCCTCCTCATTGATAATGTTGGGGCTCAGAAGACAACAGAAGCCCCAGGATATAGGCAGAAGCACCATCAGAAGCAAAGTTTCTGATCTTCTCTTGTCCTCTGTCTTTTGCTCCTTTGTCTCCCCACAAGGCAAGTCATAGAAACTAGAAGTCCTTTTCTCCAAAGAAAACTATAAAGCCTAAAAATATTGCTCTAATTTCCCTTACATTGTTCCCACAAAACACCTACCCTGCCTGTTGAGAGCCACAGTTAAGTCGGAATGATGCCTGGCATTTTGCCATAGGGAATGGTTGAAAGGTGACCCTGCTCTGGGAATAGGGCGGCTAGGGGGATTAGGACGGATCCTAATCCTAATCACTACTTTGGAGTTCCCGTTGAGTTCTTGCAGGGTTCCGAGAGAGAATCGGTGCGCGGAGCCCAGTGGAGGGAGTGTGTTCCCGGGAAGTGTGTGTAGAGTGCTGGTGAGATTTCGGGAATACAGAGTTGCTGTTTGAACCTACAAGGCTTTGTGGCGGCTCGGTTATTTTGTGCCCACCCACCCTGCCTTTCTGTCTTGGAGCTGGCCATAAAGAAATTCTCTGCCATGTCTTGTTGGGTAGTAGTAGATCACAGACCCTCATTTCAGAAGGGGTCCTGCTCCATGCCCAGGAGGAAGGAATGCTGCATAAAGAGGCCAAGGAGATTGAACAGGCCTGGCTGGGTTCTCCCTCAGCATTAGCTCTGTTAGCATTAGCTCAATACTCTCGTCCAATCATGGCTGTCCATGCTTGGTGGCACCTAAGCATAAAAACAGATAGTCACCCCATAAAATACAATCAAGTCAATTGGTTATGCTTCTCTCCTGAAAACCTGTATTCTGGTATAGGGTTGTGGGTCCCAGCCCTTTAAAATGGGCAGCAATGGGATCATCCCCCTTTCCACCCCTACAACATGTGGCAGTGATAGAGAAGACAGCCAAAAATGGGCCCTGCTGGTGACCTGACCTGACCTCCCAGCTTTCTCTCGGGAAAGAGAACTGGTCTCACTGGATTAGTAGAATTCATGGGGAACTGTGCAGGGAAGGGGCCCCAGGAGGAAAATAATGGACATGATAGCCTGGCATCAGATGACTTGAGCTAGCTTTTATTCAAATTAAATATAGAGGGGACATAGTTTGGCAGCATCTCTTAAGAAGCAAATGCTACAAGTTAGGAATCCCACTTGTAGGATGCAAGGATAGCTGGACAAAAATGCTCATTGCCACACAGTGTAGCAAAAACATGCAAACAGCCTGAATGTTGATCAAGGGACTTGTAAAAAAATTTAAAAGGATGAGGTAGAGCTATATGGACTATATGGAAAGACAGA